GTTTGGCAAGTGAGGTGAATGAGGCGTAGCGCTCCCAAAGGCCAAAAAATTCACATTCGATTCTTGGAAATTTAATGAAATGGGCTACGAAACTCCTTTCCCAGAAGTTGATAGGATTGCCAACCAGCAGCAATTATTTCAAAGCATCTAGAAACCTTTCTACAAAAGAAATAGAAAAACAGACCCACCCAAGACAGGATCAAGGGGCCTTTTGCCCCCAAAATTCTAGGGTAGTAAGCTAGCGGCAAAAGTTGCATTTTATTGGCTTGGCTTTGCAGTTTGCATGATTCTCTTAGATAATTCGAAAGTAGTGGTTTTGAGCTAAGACATGCATCTTAGGAATTAGGCTTTAAAAACACGCATACTTTCCAAACAACCCAACATTTATTGATTAAGCTCACCGTCGCCATAGCTCAACCTGAAGATAGTGGTTTGCTGCATTGTATTCTTCCCAACGGAAAGCGAAACACCATTCGGATGAGAGTAGAAGGTTTCAGGGTTACTTGTCATGTGTCATGATAATTTCTTAGCAGTACGCCATTTTTACAGATCGATTTTGTCCACCCCAGCAGAACTCGTCGCATCTATCGGTATACCTCACGAGAAGGAATCTCTTTATTGGTACAGTGGCTCAATTCTCATGTCCTGTAGGATACAAACCACATGGACATACTACTGCTACCTGTGAGGATGATGGGACATGGAGTCACTCTCCGCCAGAATGTCATGGTAGATTAATTTTTTAAGAGAGAAAAGCGCGCTACAAAAGTCTATGTTTCTCCCGGTGTAACTTATGCTTTATCTTAACATTACTATTAGTATTCGTGAGAGTCTTTCAGCGATTCAATGCCCTCCACTGGCAGTTGACAGCCGGTCAATGACGGTGACAGTATCATCATACAAATTTGGAGGTGTTGCACAGTTCCAGTGCGCTAAAGGGTAGGTATTTTGCGATCCAGGATTTAGAATGATTTTTCAAGCTATATCATAAATATTATAGATTTACTCTGATTGGAGCTGAGCACATTCATTGTCAAAGTGACAGCAGTTGGAGCGAGAAAATTCCCATTTGCACAAGTATTTATTTGTTCAGTTACATCCTTACCGCATTGATTTTTTCTCATTTCAGTCGTAAAATGTGCGAAAATTGATCCGCCAAAAAATGCTGTTTTACTTTCTCCTCCGAAGAGCCAATATCATCGTGGCGATGTTATGCTTTTTGGATGTCTACCGAATCATATACTAACCGGAGGGGATTTTGTCGTATGTCAGCCTGATGGCAAGTGGACTAAGATCATAACGAAATGTAATCTTTGCGTTAATTTATAGAAAATTTTTCATCTATAATCTACTTCATTTTCGAATTTTTTCATAATTGTAGGTGATGCTTTTTGTCGTCATCCTGGCGTTCCTGCCCACGGTGCATCAACATCACCTCCCAAAGATTACTACCTCGTCGGCGAGAAGATTGTGTATTTCTGCCCATCACATGATTATAAGCTCAACTCTGAGAATGTGCTCACATGTATAGGAGCTGGGAAATGGTCTCGAAAAATTCCTCTATGTCTTCTTGATCGACGGAATTGAAAATGTTTATTGCTGTTTTTGTACATCATTGTGATATTGAGCAACTATCCTTAATATTTTTGGATTAATTCTATGAATTTAGGAGAAATTATGCAAAATTATTCAACTGAAAAATTGAATATAATAAATTTGATGTATTTATTGTCTATTAACATGGGAACAGCTAAAACCATTTCATCGTCTACTTCAAAGTTAGTTATCTATATG